TCAACATTCCAGTGAATAGGTTCAAGCTACAAACCTATCAGGTTGAATGTCAAACAACTAGTTTGTTTCTATGTCACATGCTTTTCCTCCAACTGGAATCAAACTAGCAACCATTTGCTTCCCAAGTAAAAAGACTTAACCACTGCACTTGATAGCTTCAGAGTTAAAAACCTGCAAAAACCGCAAAGATGGTGAGACAATCTTCCCAAACGCATCCAGTCGTGTCACATAAGCTTGGCCAGCTTTGAAACTGACCTTGACTGAATACCTGCACAGAAGATTGTAGTTCCGGCTGGAAGTCTGAGTGTGCCAGCATGTCGCTGCTGCGTCGCTCTAGTTGCTGTGACTCTGTTGTTCCCATTAGAGCTTCTCAGAAAGATACAAAGAGCCTTCATTCACATGGAGGGATAACAACTCTGAAATGAACTGAAGTGGATGCTGAGAAATAGTATAGTGAGATTTTCACAGGATGGTAGTATCGCAGTGATACTGCGCAGGTAAGATGTCAGGTGACATCATTTGTAAATATTAGACTGAACATGTTTTTAGAGGATTGAGCACTGAGATGTTATCGATTCTTCTTTTGTATAAAGTCCTTCATCTCATGGATCATGAATATTGTTTAATAACACATTAAAAAGTACAAGTTATTGCTTATAGTGCACAACATCTGTAGAATTCAACTGTAATATGAGCCCTGAGTGCAAAACGCCAGCCACACAGGTATATTTGGTTGGAAGTAGAGATAATTTATTTGGCCTGCAGCCAATCAGTGACCTCATTCAGCAAGAGGAAGCTGCAGCTGAAAGCGATTGGGCAGCTGGGTAAATGGACTGTATAGCGCTTTACTCAGTCCCTATGGAGCCCAAAGCGCGTCACACTACATCCAGTCATCCTTCACACACACGCACTGGTGATGGCAGCTGCATTGTAGCCACAGCTGCCCTGGGGCGCACTGACGGACACTGGCGCCATCGGGCCCTCTGACCACCACCAGCAGGCAACGGGTGAAGTGTCTGCCCAAGGACACAACGACCGAGACTGTCGGAGCCGGGGCTTGAACTGGCAACCTTCTGATTACAAGACCAACTCTTGACCACGATCGCCCCGGTGACAGTAATGTTCACCCTGGAAGCAGATGTTGAAGCAGCTGTAGTGTGGGTTTTTTTTTTGGATGGTTAACAAAATCCTGCGTATTTCAGAAGTGATCCAATAGCTGGCACACTAACCAAACAGCAGAGCTCCTGTTTACACAGCACATGTTTGCTCCCTGTTGTTAAATCTGAGTTACGTATGTATCTGTTCTCAGCACTCTCCATCCATCCACAGCGGACACCGCCTGTCTACTGGGAACTTCACATTTCCTCAAGGGCATCTTAACACTGCCGTGACTGATGGAGAGCGTAACCCGACAGTGTTATTATGTGTTTCACTCTCTGGCAGCTGTGTGGTATCAGAATCAGCACAATCCAGTGCTGACCCACCACACCACAACAGCTGGCTCATTTCTGTGCTACAAATGGCTCTGGGGATTTGGACGTGCACATCTGGCACAGTGGTAAATTCAGCTTTTTCTAGACCCATTCATGTAGTCTTACAGGCGGTTTAATTTAGTGTGTTGGTTTGCTTGCCTGTCCAGCAATTTATTCTGTTGGTCTGTACCGAGATTTCCTGATTAAATTAAATTCCCCAATGATTCCTTCTAATTCTCTGACTTTTTTCTGTAGCACTACCGTGAGACTGATGTTTCTTGTTGCCAGTGAAACGACATGGACTAATATGAAGTCTGGTACACACACTTAGTTCTAATGAATCCTAAATACTCGATCTTTACGTTTGTCACTGGCAGGTTGCCGGCTGGACCCTGGACCAGTCCTGGGGCAGGACCAGGTGCATCTCTCGGGTCCTGTGTCAGGTCTTTATTTCTTAAGGACATGACTTTCAGAGACTGTTCCTTTGCTGCAGGTTGGGTTTCTTCAGGTCTGCCTCTTCTTTTGTCTTTCACTTGTTCACTTGTATAGACTGCACACTAAGTTTGCAGCTTTTAGGGAATCACCTTGTTGGTGCAAAAATTATACTTTATGCCTGTCAAACTGTGTTATCATTGGCATAGATTCAGCTAAATAAATGTGCTTTTGTGACAGGTTGCTTATAAGAAAGTGCCCAGTGATAAAATGTCATTTTAACTGAATTTCTTTACTAAGATGTTGTGTGTAGACACAACACTGGTTCATCCCTTGTGTTGGAAACAAACAACTCTGACTGCTTTGAAGCAAAATACAAAGAAATAAGTGTTGGACTATTGGAAAGTATTTATAATTAAATGCTTCCCCCCCTCTAGTATTTAAAGCTGTAATACTTCTCATCACGCCATCAGGATAATGCTGTTTCATTTTTGTCACTGGTGCAGATCTTCTGTAAAATGTGCAGCTTGGAGTCACGAGAATTAAAAACTGAACTAGACATGTTGCCAAAGCAGATAATGGTGCAGATCTGAAACAACACTGAGTGCCTCATTTTAGCAGCAAATGAACCCTCACCATGCAAACAAAAAAAGTTTTATTGCTCTTAGTGCTGCTGAAAATGTCATGTGATCCCAGAGACAGGGACTGACTGACAAGGTGAGCATAACCACTGCCAAGGTTGGGTGAGTCCACCAGGCTGCATCTGATAAATTAAATGAGATGGAGAAACGATGGAGTGCAAAACCCAGCAATGCAGCAGAAACACCCCTCCCCTTCCCCACCAAGCCTATTACTCTCAGTCTCTCTGCAGGTTTGTCTTTTTCACTGATCTCAGTCTTGTCACTAATGTGACAGATGAGCAGAAGGTGCACAAGTTTACACTGTTGTTGGTTTTTACTTCTTTTGGGACCCGTGAGAGAGCAGTCAGGAGGAAGAGCGACACACTTTGTTTACTTCATTCTCAAACCCTCTGCTGCAGATACAAACGGGATGGATTCATTTTCATGTTTAGAATTTAAAAACAAACAAAAAGCTGTTGAAAGATATTGAAAGACACTCAGAAATGAATCTTAGCTGTATTACCTGATGATGACTCAGCAATGCAGATGCTGTTTCTGTGCCTCTGAAGTCAGGAGCATTATCACACACACACACACACTCACACACACACTGATCAGCTGTCACTATCTGAAGTTGCTAATTCATCAGTGACTGGTGAACTTAAGCATCTCTGAACTAAACAGAGGAAGTCATGTGCAGGTTGTCCTTTGACTTGTGCGATGAACCAAAGTTTAACAGACTTTGGTGCAGTCGTCTCACAGTGGCTGTGAATAAAACGAGCCGTTGTAACAGAAAGCAAACTGGCGATTTTCACATTAGCGTCACATTTGTTGAACCAACTACTTAATTTAATAGCTTAAGAGCTTAAAGCAGTCATTCTTGCACTGAGTCGCGGTGAAGAACATGATGGATTTTTTTGCTAATTTTCCATCTTTTTAGCAAATTGTAATTGGCTCAATTTCTCCTTTGATTTAAACTGGCCATGCTACACGAACAACGCTACAGAGCAAAGTAATGCAGACAGCTGCAACAGTAAAAGAGGTCATTGCTCGTGTGTTTTGTTTCTTAGCGAGTCGGAAACCTTCAGGGATGAAACATAATTCCAAGTTCATCATAGTTGCCAAAAGAAAGCCAGTTCCCATGTTTCACGCTAAAACGTCTGATGTTAAGGATGTTAAAACACCCAGTGTTGCATCAGGTTTCTACAAGTGGATCTCAGGAGAAAACTCATATATTCCATATTCATCCCATGTAAAGCAAAAGTACTTTAAGCCTTTTTCTGGTTTAGTTTTGATGATCGTGGTCTTATTGTTCATATTTTGTCATGGTCCCTGGGTTTGAGACCCAGGGTTTTGAGTTTCAATTTGCTGTTGAATGTATTTATATCACCTCTAGCTCTGAGCTGCAGTCACTGTTTATATGTTAGTGTCCTCATCCTCTGCCTTTGTGCCTTCCTTTGCCGTTTCATCAACTTTAATTTATTGTTGCATTTCAGTTTCCCTGTTTAGTTTTTCTTACTCATTTCCTGTTTTATTGGTTTGTTGTTTTCTGTGTCTGTTTAGCTTTGTGTCCTCCCCAGTGATTGTGTTCACCTGTGCCTCATTTTCCCCAGCTGTGGTCACTTCCCCTGTCAGTCCCCTGTCAGCTGTCAGTGCAGTGTGAGTATTTATAGTCCTGTACTTCCTTTGTCCAAGCATCTGTTTGTTTCTCTCTGGTTGTATGTTCCTGCCACCCAGACATTTTGGGGAGTTTTGTACTTTGATTCTGTCTCTGTTTGAATTTCATTTTGAAGTTTGAAACCTAAATTTGGGTCCAAAACTTCCTACTTCCGACACATTCAAACTTTTATTTGTCCGTATGATGCTCCTTCCACATGGTCGGTGTGCACAGAAGGCTGGCTGCTACATTAAAGCGAATTAATTGAAAATTGGAAGGAAAAGGTGCACAAACATGCATTCCTAATATTGAACCTTTGTGAACATGCAGATCTCCTTTTCCAGCAGCACATAGCAGCTGCTCACGGGGCCAAAACTACTACCGGATGGTTTTCTGGTTGTAACACTATTAAACCTAACTCATCTCCGGGGTGTTGTCCAAAAGAAAACGAGAAACACCTGAGCCAAAAATAAAGGAAAAGCTACTATGAAAGCAGCCTGGGTTTGAGCAGCACCTCAGCAGAGGTGCGATGTTTAAGGAGCTGCAGCTAAATACGAAATGAACAAGTTGGACATTTGTTTCTGCTGATCTTAGGAAATAATCAGGAACTAATCTGTTGGCCTTTTTTTAATAACTTGAACTTAATTAGTACTTGCATTCTTGGGTCAAGGACAGCTGTGATGATTTTTCTTTGCAAAGTTCATAACCTTGTCATATTTGTGTCTGTAGAGATTATAATCCATCTCACAGTAGGGGGTTAAGCTTCTTACAGATTAAGGCAAGTGTCATTTTTTTATTACAAGGACTGAGGGGAAACACAGTTTCACCCACTCATGTTATGGTGTCATAGTGGTCCGAGTGAGAGCCACGCTGCTGATATTTCAGCGTTTGTTAGTATTAAAAACGTGAGCGTGGAGTTGAGAAAAGCACAGAGGTGCCAGTGTCTGTGAAAGGAGCAATCACTGCCTTATGTAACACTGGCAAGCACGCTATATTACCTCCAAGGGAGTTCACAGTTCCTTTCTCTTTATTTTCAACAACTCTCCTGTGTGTAATCAACAGCAAGCATTTCACAAACACACATAAAAGATGCACATGTGTGCTTTGTATGGGTGCAGTCGCTGAGATTTATATGTCAGCTGTGTATAGAAGCTAGACTTTATGTTTGGTTGTTATGAAATGGACCGTACCTAGTGTTTCAGTGTTGGGAAGGTTACTTTTAAAATGTATTCCATTACAGAATACAGA